TCTGTATATATAATCGTGTAAACGCTCTGTATATATAATCGTGTAAAAGCTCTGTTTTTATAGTCGGGTAAAAGCTCGGTATATATAATCGTGTAAACGCTCTGTATTTGTAGTCATGTAAACGCTCTGTATATATAATCGTGTAAACGCTCTGTATATATAATCGTGTAAACGTTCTGTATATATAATCGTGTAAACGCTCTGTATATATAATCGTGTAAACGCTCCGTATATATAATCCTGGAAACGCTCTGTATATGTAATCGTGTAAACGCTCCGTATATATAATCGTGTAAACGCTCTGTATTTATAATCGGGTAAAAGCTCTGTTTATATAATCGTGTAAACGCTCTGTAAGCTCTGTATTACATATATGCTCGTTTAAAAGCTTTGCATTTATAGTCGTTTATAAGCTTGGTGTTTATCATCGTGCATAAGCTCTATATGTGTAGTCGTGCTGTTCTCTATTTGAAGCTATGGTGTTTCAATTTTTTTTTCGCCATGTAATTGTCAGTGATAATTTTCTACTTGTAGTTTTGTGGTATTCCATTGTTTCTTTGGGTTCACACTGAACACCGGAAATCTGGCAGGAAACTTCTACCTAAACGTTCTACTATGTGGTCTTGCTGACTTCCCCGGCTACACAATAGCCCTGTTCTCAGCTGGCAGAGTGGGCCGGAAGAAGCTGTACATATCGGGTATGGCGGTGGCGGGAGTGTCACTGCTAGGAAGTGGTGTCACATCCATCCTCGCAACAGGAGGTATACATAGAGAATAATACATGCNAACCCGATACTGGTCGAGGGTTGATACTGGGTGTGATATGGAAAAAGGCGTGTTTTATTCTCTATTTTTCTTTTACGGGTTTTGAGGTATGATACTACGGGGGCTGATACGGGTTTTGGGGTTTGTAAGGCGAGGACTGATATGAGTTAGAGCAATTGTGTCGTATCGCATATACAAAAAACCCGTATTTATTAGTAAGTATGTAAAAAAACAGTGTTACTAAACGTTTGTTCACGCCACTATTTGTATGTATATTACAAGTAAATACTAATCATTGCTACAAGATTCAATAACATCACAAATTAGGTTTCGTTCTCACTTCCGAATGTATTTACATTATAACTGAAAATATTACAAGGAAACACGAGGACCCGTATTCATGAAATCGTTCTCGTTCTCGTACTCAAGCGCTTAGAGTGCTAAAAGCAAACTTTCTTGTAAGTCACTAAAATCATGTGACACACTCAAAACGTCTAGTATAAACATTAAAACGACTTAAAGTATCTCTGAAATTCTCCCAGATCACGTCAAAAAGGTTTTTTTCTATAACAGTGAAACAACAAATTAGACATCAGCACAAAACCTGAGTTTTTGAATTGAGCATGAAAAATGGTTTTATGAATTCGGGCCCAGCCCTTGCTCTGAAAGGTCTATGTACTATAGCTAAGCACTCCTTCTATACTACAAGATGCATTGACATCTAAACAATTGTCAGTACTACAACATGTATATTTATCATAAACACCCGTCCTTACAAGAAGTATTAATGTTCGAAATAAAACTTGGTACAAAATGTTTAAATTTCAAACTGAACATATGATAGACTGGCGGCAAAATGCATATTCATTGATCAATTGATATGGAAATATATGAAGTATATTATCACGTCAGGTCCCATATTTATTGTGACTTAAAATGGGTTTCGCAACAAATCAGTTTTAGTATCCATTTTTATTGGGTTTTCAATAAACACCACTTTTCCATTTTCAGATTTTAAATTGGTTCCAATTGTGTTGGCAATGATAGGGAAAACAGGAATGGCGGTAGGCTTCAGTGTTATCTACGTGTGGTCGGCGGAGCTTTTCCCGACTGTGGTCCGAAACACTGGCATGGGGATAAGTACGTCCTTGGGAAACATGGGATATATGGCGGCCCCAGGTGTTGCAAGATTGGTACGTTTTTATTAAGGTTTATTGAAGTAAAAAAGCATAATCTATACATGAAAGTCTTTCACTGTGTCACAATCAAATGTAGCGCTATTAGTGTTGAATATTTTAAGGAAATATACATTAAGTAATAAATAAAATGTTTCATATTGAAATTGTTGTTTTCTTTGATATGTAAAACCAGTTTTACCTGCTGTAATTAATGACAATGCATTTCGTTTTTGTTTGTAAACAGGCCACGGTGGTTCCTGGGCGGATAGGACATGCAGTCCCCCTTTTCGTGTTTGGATTTCTATCTCTTATTGCAGCCTTATTGACATTGAGTCTTCCAGAAACACAGAACGCAAATCTTCCAGAAACGGTTGCTCATGCCAAGGCCATGATCAGAAAGAAACAATACCAACCCAGTAGTAGCAAAGAAATAGTTGCCGAACGAATTGATATATCTTTGGTCAATTCATAAAAACAAATTAAAGCGCTTGATAAAACCAATGAGTGACCCTATATTTTTTCGATGACCATGGTAGCAAACCAGTTATGTTGTTTTATAAGGAAGAGGTCAAGAAATAACCATCCTCAAAAATAAGACCGGAATTTAAAAGAACACTGGAATCTATCTAGCCTTAAGACAGGATAGCGTGACTGGTTGGTGTTTGATGTTAGGACAATCCACTTTACAGTGTTGTATTGTTCTTTTTCTTAGTCAAACATAGAGACCGGAAATAATCTATGGAAATATAGACGATAATCTTTATTTACGTTTTTTTGCATCATGTATAAACTGACATTTTCGGAAATCATGTTTCCTGCAACCATGTCAAAATATCGAAATACGTCCATTGTATCACTTTCAGTGACACTTTTAATATTCACAAGTTTTTATCAGTTAGCATCGTCACGGATGTATGATTTCAACATTAGCATGATGATGTAAGTCAGTGCTGCAAGGGAGGTAAATCCAGTGATTGCGCATTTACAAACAGCGACCATGTATTGGAGACAGCATTACAGATAAACACAAAGCACGAGTTACCTTCCCTTGGCATAAACGCTTACGGTCCAGCGTATAATTTAGCTAGAACCTCACAGCACTACAGGAGAGGCGGATATATCGATCTATGTATGCAACGTTACCGACTCTGTGTTTTATAAACTGGATTTAATGTCCGAACACTTTCAATTCCTATTCCTTTATGGAGTAAATATTTTCAGCAATCCATGATGTAAGGAGAAAATGGGTCCAACAATATTTTTGTTAAGTTTTGAGACGTTTAAGAGACAAAGTCAGTTTCTATATTAGTTTTTATGCTACATAATCTGCACCAGTGGTACTATCGTTTTAACTTTCATCAGAGAAGTGATGACACCATTGATTCTATTTCGGAGTGCTTACTTTAAAACAAACACAGGAATGCATGATTGATTTACCAAATTCAAATCAAATACAGTTTTCATATACTTAACATTATCATGCTACTAAATATATCAAAACTCAATAAAGTATCGAAAAGGTAGTTAAACTAAAGCACACATAAAAACTGCTTCTAATAAATAAAAAATATACGTCAAATGTAAAATTGTTTTAACATGTTTTATGCTGTGTTGCTATCAAAATACCACGGTTTGATAACCTCCTTTATTTTGAATAACTTAGCAGGCCTACAATCATAACCAAACAGTTCGCAGTCAGGACGGAACAGTTCACTCAATAACTCCATATCTTCTTTATCTACCGTTGAAAATGCCTCAAGCACAGCTTCTTCCTTGTTCTTCTTAGATATATTCCTATCCACAGCGTCTCCTCTGCCTAAGTACAACATACGTGTAAAATCTCTGTTTGTAATTCTTTCACTCTCCTCTTTAGTAACTGGATATTTCGAGTGTTTACTCAATATTCCACGAATTTGAAATTTTTTCCACATTAATTTTTGAGCTTCGAAGAATGTGACTTTACAAAGAGGATAATAAGACCTAAATCTGAATAACATATCTACCTGGTCTCTAATAGTATCTTCTAAAGTGTTTTCATGAAATCTGTTCATGACCGATTTCATTAATGTAAATTTTCCCATTTTCTTTAAAAGGTAAAACGTATCCTGCGCGAGGGTTTCAAGTTTACCGATGACGTCATACTTATACTTACATGGATCGCAATGTTCATATTGTGCTGTAAAATGACCGTCTCTATGAGTATTGTGTTTTTCTGTATAAATAACTGTTTTTACAAATTCTCTGAAACTGAGATCATGACCGCATGTGAGATCATTTCTACTGCGATTTGTGCGGACTTGTTCAATCCCAAATTTTCCGTACCCCTTCCAGAAAACATAATTAGGTGAAAAAAGCTTGTCAACGTATCCTGAAAATAGACGACTGTACGGGTCACGGATGAACAGGAACGTCAGTGATTCCTTCATGAAATTCTCCCTCAAGTCTATCGGTATGTCCTTCAAATGATCAAAATGTTGAAGTGCTAAAACTGATGGATCGAAAGGTGAACTTGCCTTAGACTCCCCGATGACGATCTGAAATATACCATCAAATATACCATCAAATATCCATCAAAAATATCATCAAATATACCATGGTTTTGGTTTGTTAAAATTGCATTTATGATAAAAAGAATGATCACTTGCTTCAATTGTTTTCGACACGAAATGTATTTTCAACTGGATATTGTCTTAAAGTGAGAAAAAAACTTTAAGCAATTGTGCAGTCAACATTACAGCAAATAAAGTGGCAGGGAAGATAATGCATGTGATTCCTTACTCAAGCCTCCCTTGTCTTTGTATCTTTGGATGAAAATATTCTATATAATTTAATATACAACTTGCAAATGAACCCTGGCATCAAAATGAGGAAGCAATACTTTTTATATAATAATCCTGGAGATTTTCTTAAATGGAAAAAGAATATTTTAACTTTTAAACTTCTAAATCTAATTTTAAATGTTAATTAAGAATCCACGTACAATGTGCCACTGCCAAAAAAGGGATTACACATTAGGAACTTTCTTCCCGGCATGGCTATGCAATGGAAAAAGTATCAAAAAAACACCTCCCAGCACTTTATAAGTAAAATAATAAAGATGGTCTAAACAAAACAAGAATTCAAGAGCAATTTTAATCTAAGCGTTAAAATGCAACCGGGCCAAACGTGTGGTCTTGTGACTAATAACCGGTGACATGAACAGACAAATCTGGGACACATATACTAGTAACTCCTGGTGAGCATGCTCTTGTATGCCAAGTAGGCTTATTTAAATAACTCTATTTGGACTTAAATTACACGTACTTGCAGGTGACATGGACAGACAAATATGGGAAGATTATCACTCCTTGTGATCTTGCTCCAGTATGTCGAGTAGGTCCATTTAAATAACTCTATTTGGACTTTAATAGAGCGTACTTGCATGTGACATGGACAGACAGATCTGGGAAACTTATCACTCCTTGTGATCTTGCTCCAGTATGTCAAGTAGGTCCATTTAAATAACTCTATTTGGACTTTAATAGCGCGTACTTGCAAGGGACATGGACAGACAAATATGGGAAGATTATCACTCCTTGTGATCTTTCTCCAGTATGTCAAGTAGACCCATTTAAATAACTCTATTCGGACTTTGATTGCACGTACTTGCAGGTGACATGGACAGACATATCTGGGAAGCCTATAACCCCTGGTGATAAAGCTCTATTGTGCCCTCTCGTTCTGTTGTTACTACCCCATTTCGCAGTATGAGGATGTGAAATTACTTGGAATGGCCGTATTTTTACATGGCCGTTGCTGAAGCAGAAATGGTAACCCTTCCTTAACAACTGGGCTCGTCTTACTGAAACCGTTCTCGCGATTAAGCATGGATACTTCGCTCAAACCAACTTTCATATAACTCGCTTGAATCTCGGGATATTGTCAAAACTTCACGCGTAAACATTGAAAATGGTAATAATTTCAATTTATCCAACTGTCCTCCAAATTATTGACAAAATTGGAATTGTTATCATTAGATCGCCGGAACAAAAAATAGTGCTTGAGAATCCGTATTCTGAGTTTGAGCGCGATAACATTTTCGTGGCTACGAACCGTGATCTTATTATCAATGTACTTTCCCATTACCTTCGTGTGAGACATTCGTTCATTGATATTTGCTCTGATATTATCGATTTTAATCTCGAATTGTTGTTTATTTATGCTTCGGTATTCTGTTGTATTTATTCATCAAACAGTCCTCGAGCAAAACGGTGTTAATTGAAAAATAATCATTAATTATTCGTTGTTTATTTTATGATTTCAAATAGTTCTGAATAATATGGCTTAAGGATTTCTGAGAAAACTGGTATTCGTAAAAATAAGTAACGAAACATGTTACTTACGGAGATGACGTTGGTGTATATTAAAAATTAAAGAACAGTCTTACATGCATCGGGCATTCTCTAATTTGTGAAGAACAACTATACAGCTAAATTGAAAGACATTCAAAGTCGGTACAAAAAGACATATAATTTAAACTTACCCGAAACACTCTTTTCCAGAACGTTGAAGCTGTCTTCTGAATTGTACAGTAAGCAAACTTTTGCCGGCGGTCAATAATATTTCGTGACAAGACCCCTGGAGGTGATTTGAGATCGAACTGCTGCCTTGAGCAGACTTCAAGAAGCCTGTCTCTCCTATCTTTATACAGTTTATCAGGGTCGTTGTCTTTAAGGGTGGTGATCGTCTTGACCTCTTGCTCTTTTCTTTCAGCAAAGTTTTGCTTGACATTGACACCGGAGGCGATGACGTTTTCTTTATGATTGTTAGTGAAAACGCTTGTTTTGTCTTTTTCAGACCCAATGTGTGAATGACGTCGATTTACCTGCATAATATGTTAAATGTGTTGTCAATAAAACAAGCAAAGTTCAGGGAATATTTGTTTACTAAAACGGTACACTACCAATATTTCACATACAACTGCAGATATACTATCGTATTTTTTTCTAATAAAACATCCATTCTCAGTGGCAAGATGAATGTCTTAGCCAAACATAAACAAAAACATCATAACATACATCTTAATATCGTGCAACATTATCGAAGACCTGAACCTGTATTATGAAACCACGCTCAAGCTCAAGCAGGAATTCTGTGCTCAGACTAACCTTTTTATCACTCGCTCGAATCATTTGGTTTGATTTAGTTTTGATTAACGTCCTATTAATAGCTAAGGTCATTTAAGAACGTGCCGCCATGTGTGTAGTATATGCGTGCTTGAGTGTGTCTATGCAGGAGACATGGTATCTTGGTGTGCTTGTCTCCTTGTGATAGCGCGGATCTGATGCCGACTTTATAGTGCTATCTCACTGAAATACCATGCCGAAGGCACCAAGCACAGCATTCCGCCCGGTCACATTATACTGACAACGAGTGAACCAGATGTTGCTATTCCCCCTTAATACTGAACGTTAAGCAGGGAATAACAACTACCATATTTAAGGACTCGGGACATAACCCATTTCCTTCATTACCTGGGCGAACGCTCAACAGTCAAGTCAAAAGTGAGGTGTTGCCAATCAAGGCGATAGAAAATAAAAGGTAGTTAGAAGTAGAAAGAAAGATTAAGATCCCAAGTATTGCAATGGGCGCAGCAGATTTATTTTGTGTCTCCAAATAGAGGACACCAAAGCAAATCCCCAATTCTGCAGGGGGTTCCGTCATTAGTCGCCTCCTACGATACATGCAGTGGGTAACAGCAGGTGTTTTATTTTCCTGACCCCCCACCTGCAGGGATGAATCATGTGACACGCTCGAAATGTCAACTTTAGAAAAAATGTAATTGTATTCTCAAACACACTTCCCAATCTTGGCAAAACAAAACTGTGTTATCAATTTATCACCAGAACACGACACTGGGCTTCAGCGCGAATCTGATCATGAGTTTGAGCATGAAAACGGTGTCGTGAATACGGCCCAGAAAAATATAGTGTGTTGCATCATACCCGAGTTGGAACTTAATCGTCATGGTACGTTTATATAAATCAAATATGTAACGATTTTTAAACAGAATATAGAAGCAAACCGAAAGTACTTCTGTCATTAAAACAATCTTCCTCCTTATCCTTAGCTATAAACGTAAAACCATCTTACCATTCACAATATAAGATCGAAGCTAACACCGTACTCATTCTTTTTTTGTTACACTGTTTATATTTTCCTGTGTTTGTTTCATTTTAGAATTACAGCTGATAGATAGAAACAATTTGGACTCCACCTTGGTTGTGGCTATATGTGAATTACGTCCACCATCCAACGCAACCAAACGAAAGCATCCATAACAGTTAACCCTTTCTTAACAGTTTTTTGTCATAAAAACTATTACAGTCGTGACAATTACATGCAACTTTAGCCTACATGTTTATCGATCAATTAGTACGATAATATATTTTGAACCATACATTTTTTCTATAAATTTTGTCAAAAGCTACTTACTTCATAATCATTTCTCTTTTCGCCCCTCCGTATATATTGAAAATCTAACATAGCTTCTGCTTCTGAAAAAAATGCAATCAATTATTTGAAAAGAAACAAAAAAAAAAACAAATTACAAGATGTATAATCATTTAAAAGATTAAATATACATTTTGAAAGATGATATTCGTTTCAATGTTTTTTTCGATACATTTTAAAGCATAAATTCCTCGAAGTGTGTTTGATATGTTTGAAAACCCTTACCTTTCACGTCCCTTTTCTTACTCCTGGATTGTAAGATAGCATAACCAAACAGAAGGAGAAATAATATTAAAAGTAACATAATATTTCTTCTTCGTTTCATCTTTCAATGATAATTCCGTATATGTTCGACTAAATCAATACATGGAATATACGGTATGTTTGTCAATCTTCTGTGTGCACATACTATATGCTAGAAATGTGTCAAACTCATAAATTGCAGGCAAATCTTGCTTTCTTAATAAAATATTTTGCCTGAGGGATGTTGAGTATCTATCGTCGCCCGAGAAGCAATATTTTGCCTATGGCGCATTTGTAAACAATGAGACAAATGGCTATTTGATTAAGATACTAGTTTGAATGAGAATCAATTAGCAATGTACACCTGCAGGCTAACCGCTGTATAGGATATCGTTAGGATGCAATTCTTATAATTGTTATCTATTCAAACAAGGACGAAATCAGAACTCAAAGTCAACTTAATAGACGAGTACTTCACCAACACGATAACTATCAACCCGTACGGAGAAGACATCAAACCCATTAACCCAGAAGACACCTACACGATCGACACAAACGATAGCCGGCCGAGGAGACACCAGAACGATATACAACAACAGGAACCGCGGAGACACCAAAAACACGGACAGCGATAGGAAATGTGGAATAGTCAATATAATAACAAGCTATATAAAACGAGGAAAAGCAATACAATACATAGTGCCAGGAACCAAGGGGACAGATAATTTATAGACAACGACTGGAGCTGTATTGCGCTATCGGACGAGAGTTTTATTTTGACCTTTCAAACGAGTAGTGGTTGCTTATTCAGTTTTGTTTTAATTTTGAAATATGAAAAAGCAAGACTATTAAACGTGAAGAACATTCATAACAAAAACACTTTTTGTCTGGAATATTTTCCCTGCCTGGATACCTGATTTGACTGTAATGTTTTGTGGGAATTACGGTTTTTTAGTATTGTTTTCATATCTACTCTTTTGTTTAAGTGTGTCCTCGTTCTCTGACGTTTTGTTTTGTTTCGTATCTAATCGTGCCTGTTTTTGTGTAAAAAAAAAAAAAAAAACCTCCTGCGCTCTGTCCATGTATGGTCGTTAATGTCTCATAACTTCTTGTTGTTACTTATGGTTGAAATTTCTCCTCAATTCATGTCGTTTTCTAAAGTTTTACTGTCATTTAAGTTCCTGTTTTTTATCGTTTGTTTCAGTGTCACTTCAGCTCTTGTCGCTGTTTCTTGTTATGTGTCTCCTCAGTTCCTGCTGTTATCTATACTTCACTGTCTCCCCCGTTTTAGTGTCTCCTCAGTTCCTGCTGTTATCTATACTTCACTGTCTCCCCTGTTTTAGTGTCTCCTCAGTTCCTGCTGTTATCTTTTCTTCACTGTCTCCCCCGTTTCTGTTTTTATCTTTTGTGTTGTTGTTTCCTCAGCTCCTGACACCGACATTATTTTACTGTTTCCTTAGTACCTGACATCGATTTTATTTTACTGTCGCCTCAGTTACCGACACCTAAATTATCTTATTGTCTCCTCCGTTCTTGACACCGACATTATTTTACTCTCTCCTCAGCTCCAGACACCTACATTATTTTACTGTCATCTCAGTTCCTGACACCTACATTATTTTACTGCCTTCTCAGTTCCTGACACCGACATTATTTTACTGTCTCCTCAGATCCTGACACCGACATTATTTTACTGGCTCCTCAGATCCTGACACCTACATTATTTTACTGGTTCCTCAGTTCCTGACACCGACATTATTTTACTGGCTCCTCAGTTCCTGACACCGACATTATTTTACTGGCTCCTCAGTTCCTGACACCGACATTATTTTACTGGCTCCTCAATTCCTGACACCGACAATATTTAAATGTCTCCTCAGTTCCTGACACCGATTTGATTTTACTGGCTCCTTAGTTCCTGAAACCGACATTATTTTTTTGGCTCCTCAGTTCCTGAAACCGACATTATTTTACTCTCGTCTCAGTTCCTGACACCGACATTATTTAAATGTCTCACCAGTTCCTGACACCGACATTATTTAAATGTTTCCTCAGTTCCTGACACCGACATTATTTTACTGCCTCATTTCCCGACACGGACCTTATTTTACCGTCTCCTCAGTTCCAAGAACAGAGGAGAAACTAAAATAAAATAACACCGACATTATTTTACTGTCTCCTCTATTCCTGACACCGACATTATTTTTCTGTCTCCTCAATTCCTGACACCGACATTATTTTACTGTCTGACCATTTCATGTCACCGACATTATTTTACTGTCTGACCTGTCCTGACACCGACCTTATTTTACTGTCTGACCAGTTCCTGACACCGACCTTATTTTATTGTCTCCTCAGTTCCTGACACCGACATTATTTTACTGTCTCACCAGTTCCTGACACCGACATTATTTTATTGTCTCCTCAGTTCCTGACACCGACATTATTGTATTGTCTCCTCAGTTCCTGACACTTTATATTGTTCTTTATCTTTTGTTTAAATGTTTCCTCTGTTCATGTTGTAATCTTTTGCTTTGCTGTCTCCTCATTTTGTTTCATTTTTGTTTTGTTTTAGTGTCTCTTCAGTACCTGTCATTGTGTATTGTTTAAATGTATCCTCAATTACTGTAAAACTGATGCACCGTGTAAACCTACTTATAGATTCTGTTACAATATCTCTAGTAAAATATCGTAATGATTTGTCATAATTACAAATAATTGCGTTCCTGCCAGTTGAAGTGGAAAGTGATAAAAGTAGCTTTTTTAAAACACTGCCATGTCATTAGTAGTGCCCCGATATTTTATAATTCCATTCAGGATCGAATTCTTATAACATTGTTATGATGTTGCGTAAGCGCAGTATAGAAAAACAAAGAAACTCCATCTAGGGTTCTCGGAACTCGGCTGATGCTAATTGCTGTCTATCTTGTTAACATACAGACGGAATTATCTACAGGATATTACATGATTTTTCGTTATTTGATATTCTCCACGAAAGGCACACCTCCAGTATAATAAATAAGCAATCCGATAATTCCGTCTAAACTAATTCATATTCAACGGGGCACCATGGGAGTATTTCTTATTGTAAACTTCGAAAACTATTGTCAATATTTTAGTTATCGGTACTCTTTTATTGAGCGTGGTCATAGAACGGTTTATCAAGCGGCATCACTTTCCACTCGTAGACAAAATAGCTGTTTACGTTATTGCGATATGGCATGTGTCGCGTTTACGTTTTTAATATTAACGTTTGATAACTTCGCTAAGTCGGTCTCCGTACCTTACCTCACTTTAGCCCAAGCGAATTCACATAGAATAATCCAAGCCAATTTTGTCATGACTTAATTGATTTTAATTGTTTACATTGCAAATTATAATGTATGAATTGTGCTGATTGTTTCTGGAATAATAAAATTTGGAGCTACATACACATTTTTTCAAAGAAAGAAATAATATTTTCAACATAATCTATTCAAAACATCGTTAGTGTTATGAAAAAAATATCAATTTGCATCAATTACAATGGATTCAATGTTGAAATGTATTTGCCCCTTAACGACAAATGTTCAACAATTTACGCTACGGATGAACAGATAATTTGTTTCGGTCTACTGACACGCCGCCAAGAATGTTTGTAAAATGCATTCAATATTATTACAGTATTAATTAATATGCCGAACAACATGGTCGACACCTTAGGTAAGCAGTATTTCCTTTTTGTAGCTTAAAGTCAACAGGAAATTGATGACTCTTGTGATGTGAACAGTTCAACTTGCAAATCACACCGAAGGAATCTGAAACTAAATAAAAAGCAGTTCTCAATATTGACGATTCTGTTAAATGATGAATGGTTTACATGCATAATATACATATTTTAATGATATAACCCTCATTCCAACTTATTTAATTCATCCTTAAAGTCTATTTTGTTAAGTCATATATAAGTATGTAAATACTATCGGCAATTAAATATACATCATAACCGATATTTTTATTTAAACGTTTTACGTTATCTAGCAGATTTCAAACTTTAGTGAAGTGGAGATTCTAAAATTAAATTTATAATATTCCTGTACTGTTACAAGAGGGACAGATTTGCTCACCAAAATAGCATACTTTCTTTTGAAGATCCCTGCAATTTAGTCGAATATTTGGCAAATGTTCTGCTCCATTCTACTGATCAACCTGGTAATATCAATATGAACAAATAAGAAGCAATTGCGAGGCTTTCATTGGCTTTCAACGATATCAAAACACAATCCAAAATTACACACACATAGGTAGAGAGCGAACGAAGAAACCACTTGAGATTCACGAATAAGAAATACAAAACAAAGATGACATAGAAATGATATGGACAAATCATCACTTACACAAAAACTTTGGTTTACAACAAACATAACTGTTTCTGTATTGCAAAATATAAACAAAAAACATCATCGTTTTATTGCAATGTTGTATTAGCGTACGATGAATTCGAGTTAATAGAAACAATTTTCCTTCTTTCTTACATTGATCCTCCTCTTAATCATGCTTGGTTGGGGTCTGGTTCAGCAGCCAAACATACGTAAGTGGACAGGTCCATCTCATTGTGACGACAAGTCCTCCAGTAGAATGAGGGAGAAATTTATGGAAAAAACATCAAAGAAAAATTATTGAGTTTAGATAAAACAAATACTATAATCGTGAAAAACCCTAAAAAGATTAATAAGAATCTACCGGCGTCATATCACATATGACTAAGCAATTTAGACATTCTTATTTTGCGCACAATTTAATCAGTTTCATCATTTTGTCTTTATTTAAAGTTTTCAAAACATAAAAATAATCATGTAATCATTAATTAAAATGAAAACGTCAATTCTATATTCACCATCCCGATAACTTATAAATAAAACATAATTTAACAACAATAAGATTATATGATATATATATATATATACAAAAACACATTGGAATGTAAAATGCTACTCACCAATTCTGTTGCAAACAATAGGAATTACATTTCATAGAGGAAATGCTTTAAATAATGTCATAATGTGTTCAAATTCATTTCAAATGTAATATATCAATTAAACTATATAAATATACAATATTTACATAAGATTGATAAAGAATCGATAGTAAATTGTACAAGTAAAATATAATAATATAAACAAATAAATATTAAATAATGTATGAACATAATATAAATAAGGTGACAACAACGATACATAGTTATATAGTTATCAGGTAGAAAGATGACAAAATAATGGAATTCAATGATAATTAGATAAATAGGTTATGCAATACGTAGACAACATGTCAAAACCTGAAAGGCAAAGTGACAATAGTCAATTTAGTAATCAAACATGCACAACATAATCTAAGCATTTATTATACTGTATGAAATACAAATCATAAACATGACGATTTATCAAAATAGACGACACCAAAAAAAATGTGACATCAAGTCGGTTTATGACAAAAATAGACATTCATTAGCAAGGCAATTACAAGACGGTATATAAAAACAGCATATAGGCAAGACGACAACAAGACAGTATACGACAAGACAATATATGAAAATGGACATCACATAGGCAAGACGACAACAAGACATTATTTGGAACATTACATAACATAATCTGGGCAATTACAAGAAAGTATATCAAAACGACATCACATAGGCAAGACGACAACAAGACAATTTACGACAACAAGTCAGTATATGAATCTGGACATCACATAGGCAAGACGACAACAAGACAGTATACGACAACAAGACGTTATATGGAACTGGACATCAGATAATCTAGGCAATTACAAGACGATATATGAAAAAATTCACATCACATAAGCAAAACAATAATAAAACGATATATCAATATTTATAACTAAGCAAAACAGTAGCAAGACGGTATATCAAATATACAGTACGTTAACAAGACGATAATAAAACTGTGCTTAACAAACGTTACATAAGAAAACGGACAAAACGATAAACAAAAGCAGACATAACATTACTAAGGCAACAGCATGGCATTACTTATACGTAAACACCACATAACCAAGAGAGCATCAGACATCAGAAAGCAATTGCAAGTAAATTTGTATCAAAGAAAAAGATAACAGTATCAATTCCTATTTAGTCATGTATTCCATCCAACTTACCTGTTATATTTAACTTTCCTAGATTTAAACAAAACATTAATAAAAGAAAAAATCATTCATAATAAGGCAGTTTGAACTCAACAAATAAATTAAGTTAAAATGACCTATACCTTCCAGGGTTGAAAATGGTCCATATTTTGATGACAGTGTACAACCTCCAACAGTACATATGGCCGCCTTCAAACTGCAAAAGAAATTATTTGACTTGCTATTTAATAAAAAAAAAAGGGGGAAGAAAAGATATACCACCATTCACACTAAGACAATTTTAGAACTTAATTCGTTACAAAAGTAACTAAAGTGAAATGAAATCAAAACGAATCACCAACCGCTAAACACCAAAACAAAGCAAAATAAGATTTTCTGGAAGGAAAAATAAAACCGGTTGACCCGGAACCGAAATCAGTTGTTTCGGGAGAAAAAGCGAAATTAGGTGTTGGGGAAACAGGGTTCATTCAAGCACTTACGATAACTTATTATAAGTTAATGAATCAATATTAACTGGATGAAGTATTTTATTACAGATTGCAGAGCAATAATGTTGCAACATATATTATTAAACATACAAATAAGTAGATTCAACTTGTAGTGGTCCATTGCAATACTGTTTCGTTGACTGGCTGCAATTTGTCACTTTTCCTATCACAATGCGGAATGTGGTAGCCGCCTTATTTCCAGCTGTAAAAAAAACGATAATTTGTATTACCTTCTCAATTTTTATGACTTCTACGATATCTTTATATGTCTATATCATTTTCTTTATTGTTACCTCTGTTTCTTATTTATATTGAAACCTTTACCGATTTAAGCAATACGTCCTAGTAAAATATTGAATCGATAAATTGCTCAGGTTTTGTCAATACGTACCAATGAATGCCGAATCAAACTCGGATTTAGACATGGCCCTATACATTTGAGAGAACCCTTTCGTCTTCGCTGCTTTCCAACCGTCCAATGTACTTAAGTAATTTTCTGCCTTCGTTTCTGATTTATCGTCTTAAAAAACAACATCACATTTTCAATTATTAGTTAACCAAATATATATATAGATATGTGTAAGGACAATATCCGGACGCGAAGTCCGAGATATATTAAGCGACACCAAAACAAATGGAACTACAACATTAACCCCAAAATTAAACGGAGATGAGTTTATGTAAGCCTGAACGGTTTTCATTTATTACAACAAGAAGTACCAGTCATGGTGGCTCCCTTGCCAATCAAGCAAGTACGTATGTATAAGACAATTATTATGTAAGAGACAGTGATCAGAGATATCTGACATTGACATTTCATACTTCGAAACCAGGTTATGTTGATGACCTTGATATTGTGTAATGAAGATGAACGCTTCTCGAAAATAAGACATTGATTAAGTACTGTATATCATGTTACTAAGACCAGGTTCTTATAAAGCGAAACGTTCGTGAAAATTTTGTGGATTTAAGAATGTAAAACATTTTTAAATAGCCTAACGAGAGAAACTGTGAACAAACTCATAAAGATATACCTCTGACTTGCGCTTACAAGGTTTCTGGAGCAGAAATTATATAGTTTCAATGGCGATAACTCTAGCAAACATAGCTGAATCACAAATTCCTTTCTTCATGCACATTTACATCAGATGTATTCCGACTGTGCCAAATTACCAAATAATCCAACAAACATTTAAGGAGGGCTTGTACTAAATAATTAAAGTGTCAGGGGTCATAACTCCGGGGAAGGAATGTAGACGCATCGCTAATATCTTTCTTTGCACACGTTTGCGTCTGATGTAGTTATGCTGTAGTAAGTTACAAAACAATCCAACGACCCATTAAAAAGATATTGTGCTTCCAGGGTTTATGAACGGTTTCAGGGCCATAAGTACAAGAAAAACAGTCGAATCGCAAATTCTATTCTTCATTTCTATCTACATCCGATGCACTTTCCTGTGTCAAGTTACAAAAAATGAACATACAATTTAGAAGAGGTTACGCTTATAAGGATCATGGACAGACGGATGAACAGGAGGATTCCTTTATACCAGATACACTTTCTTTGCGGGGATTTAATTAATACAATTTAATCAAATGCATCCAGGTCCATACAACTCGTTTGTAGCAAAGTTTACTGGACATTGTTGTTGCTATCTTTAACTTACCTAGTCCTGTACATCTCTCCTTACACAACACGAGGGTGTAATCAACAATTGGGCCATAGACTATGTTTGTGAAAAATCGTTTTTCAATGTTGAGCGCAAACGTAGTGTGTGTGGCTTGGATGTCAATGTTAGACGTGGACGGAATGATTGATTCATCAACATCGAGAGGAGGAGCTGTAAGTTAAGGAAAAAATACTTTACGCACTTTTATACGATCTTCTGATAATCAAAGTACATTCTGCATCATTTGAAGTTTTAAATATTTGTTTGATTTATTTGCACAATGCTTCTATAAGTATAACAGTTGCTTGCAGTATGATTTATCGACATCAACAATGAATAGGAAGTGGATATAATATAACCAGAAATGTGAAATTTAAATATGTAGAAGTTCTTACGTCCAGCTGGTGCAAAGTACGTCATCATACTTTTTGTCCCTATAAGGATACTGCCAGTGGAATCCTCACCTACAGCATATACCTAAAAGACAAAAGGAAGGCATCAATACGTGGCGTGAATAATATCCTGATTATACTTCCAATATTTGTTCATCGACATGTTATTGCTAACGGGAATTGTTAAGAAAAGCAATTAGAAACTCTTGATGTATGTGTTTGCAGTAAGCATGCACGGCTTCAAATGAAATGCGCTTTTTCATAGAACACATTTTAATAGAATATCCTTTAAAAGCAGAAAAAAAGTATAACTACACAAAAAAACATACATTTCTTTCCTTTAACCCACTGATAGACGTTCAGTGTAAATGTATCTATTGTTCGTTAGGAGTTTCTGATCATGACGCTCGTTGTTTATCATAAGTTTTTCCATTTGCTTCAACCCTGTTCAGAATTAGACTGGAGAGATTGCAACTAAATGTTTAAGTACAAATTCAGCGATGCCTTACCTCTATTATGTAGGTATTCAACGGTACAACTGTTACGTTCTTTGTTACCGGATTGGGATCTGAATCTACAGCAATCACTTCCGAGTGCGAGGTTACGTTCTGAAACATAATTATTTTGCAGAGTTTGGTTTTACCTTGATAATGTAAACTAATTAAATCGTAAATTGATATTTTTGATAATGAGCTCCAAACAGTGTATTTGTTTTCCAGTTATATGACGCTGTCTGCGAGATTGTATATATTCTCACCATTATCATTGAGAATGCGAATTCCTACCCATCTTGTATATAGATGTGTATACAATTGTTTATCTTTATGTCAAACAGACATGTTATGTACCAAGTTGGTTTTACCGTTGCCAGCTGTTTGGCGAAGCGGGCAATGTGACGAAATGTTTCCCAAAAAAGAAAATTAAAAGGTGCAGGCTATGTGATATCTTTCAAAAGCAAAATTGTACACATCGTAATTGTTAAGAAAAATGCAACATAATTATAGAAATTCCTCAGTTTTATCATCAAACGTATGCATGAGAGATTCATATAACAGGCTCTGTTTTACATATCATTTAGTGGCATATTAGAAATCGCCATAATTGTTTAATTAAGATAATGCATGGCGATATTAGCATATCAAGTATATCTATAAAGTAAAATAACTCACAATTATCCAATCCATTACCATCGATTACTAACATTGTTACATAGCTAGATAAGTACAGATGCGAGTTACATATACCAGACGTTCGAAGTGAACCTGGTATTCATTGTGCATAATATTTTGTATGTAGCAGAGAGCCCACCTGGCAATTTACCAGAGAGGACAATCTGCAGACTTTATTCTCTTTAAATGATATTTTGATGGGTGCGGACAACAATGGAGCGGGCAACATGACAGAAATTACGGTAATTTCTGTCCGATAGAAATACACAAAAATCATGATAGAACTTTTTATCGATTATTTTTGTGCTTCCGTTTACAATCATTCTTACCCCTCCTGTGGAGTTGTAAGAAAACACAAACTGAGTGACGTCACTGTTTCTGTCCAATAACGACGGAAGCTGCCAGGATACTCTCACAGTAGCGAAGTTTGGTCCATCAGGTCGGGTAACCAGAAAGTTACCTACTGTATCGGGAACTGCAAGACAAAAGCGACATCTCAGACACTGTATAGATAGAAAACACCTGAACATGTAAACAAAAACCCCAGACCAGAACATCATAACAGGATTTCTTGAATAAGAAATACATGTATCGTATCAATTCCCAAGTCTTGATTTTAAATTAAAGATCTATATAATCAAATGATCTACGCATTAGCAAATGAATCTGCAGATGATTTCCTGATCACATTAAAATTGAAATGTCTTGAGTTATCCTCTATACTTCATAAAGCTGCCAATGACTAATCAGGCAATAAAATCTAGTCAAATTGTTGAATTTAATGTCGTTGATAGTATAGACCTTTTCGATTGATGGTTAAACGGACATAAGACTAAAAAAACCACTACACTTCTGAACAACGTTAGAGGCATATTTACCGATAGCTTGTGTTGTTGCGGACGGAAGTGCCTGTTGGAACCCGGAAGAACCCTTGTCTGTAACGGCTGTGATATTAAATGTGTACGTTCGGAACTCCTCTAGGTTTTTTACTGTGTAATCTCTGGTGTAGAAGCCTTAACAAAATACAAAGACTCATTCATCTAAAAGTCAATCTTTAGTTAAATATCACTAGATTGTGATGTTGAAATATTTCACGACGAAAGACATTATACATCGTATTCTAACAAGAACACAAAAACGTATATTTCATGTTGGGTTTTTGTTTGTCATTGGCCCATGTAAATATTTTCGGTATCGGCGCTGTTCGGGATAGAATGTTTGCGGATGTGTCAGTTAATAGTGCGCACTACCGATTTTGTATGATATAAATTATAATTATCTCTCGTATAACTGGTTTAATTTACAGTGAAAGATAGGGTTATGACAATGTTATAGATTATAACTTGTGCTACTAACCGCGTATGGTTTCCGTGCGATTTATTTCGGGTATTCCTGGTATTACATGCAGTTCAAACGTGGTGGGACCCGGCTCTAGTCCTGATATGGTCCATGTCACAAATATTTCTGTGGCACTCAATACAGACACATTCAAATCAGTGGGGTGCTGTGGAACTGAGAAAATAAACAAGCCATAAGAATGCAAATATTGGGCTGTCGAAAATATATGTATTGATGCTACGTTAAACACGTTATATTTATTTTTGTATAACTGTAAAGAACGATATTTAAATGATGCATATGATTATTATTTATTCAATGTATAATTTGCTTTACCTTCCTGGTCTGTTGCTGTGTATTCAGTAACAGGTACCCCGTCTCCTGCTGCGTTCACAGCTAACACACTAACAGTGTAGTTAGTATAAGGTAGGATGTCATGGACAGTGTAGTTGAAGACGCCATCTAGATGTATCGGAAGAACTACCACTGTCTGTTTGGTGCCAACAGGACAATCATAGGGGATTGCCACCCACTGAAAATATAGTGGTCATAATACTTATCGTCGACTGATTGATATAATTAATACGGTAATTTTCAACTGAAGTCATACATTGTAGTGGATTTTAGCAAATGTATAAATGTGACATGCAAATATGAGTTATAATATATTGATACTCAAAAAGAGGAAAATTAACCTTAAACGGATTACAATTTCGCAATAATGCCCCGGAATTCGATATATCTCATTGTTCAATCAAACAAAATCAAACAGCATACACTATCAAACTATTCTCAATTTATTTGTGTATATTTATATATCAGTTTGCACTACCCGTGTACTGATCTCTGTGTACAAGATCACGTTGGCGCCATAACAATATACTTCAAACAATCACACTTGCCTCAGTATATGAATTTTGTAAATACACTGCATTATGATATTCTTCCTAATGTCAATATCGGAACATATTAATTGTAGATTGCAGTGCAATGCATTTTTTAAGCACTTTTTCACGTGGTTCTATTTTTACTCTTGTTGGCCAATGTGTTAGCGTACACATATGCAAATTAGCGCAAATGTCCTTCCTGGGAAAAAACCGGCGCTGCGATAACCTTTACGCATTATATTTTCATTTTAAACGAAGGAAAGGTAAACAAGTACCAATGGACATGTATGACAGGCGAAGATGACTTCCTTGACACACGCGCTCCCATCTGTCACTGTGAGTCTGTACCCACTCAGTGCACCATTGGTAATCGTTGGTTTGGTCCAGTTCAAGGTGAACTCTCGACTCTGAATTTGTGTCACAAGTAAGGTACTAGGCGCCATTGAAACTGTAAAACGATGTGTATAAAGAACATCAGAGGATATCAACGCACTGCAAAAGGATTTTTTTATGAGATGTTAACAAATGTCAAAATATTGTTAATAGCATTTGTTAATGTCTATCACTATTATTACATAAATATTGCTTCGATTTTTTTGTCAATATTGTTTTTTTATTATCATCCTACAAAAATACCATCCAATAAGAAAACACATCCGTGCAAGTCAATTTTGTAATGCTCTGGGTGTTAATATGAATGTTAATGTTTATATAGTATTACCATTTAAATGGCTTAAGCAGGATAAATAGGTCAAGCAATTCAATGACAGTCACATGTAACATTTACCAATTGTTACTACTAGACTTGTTATGATCAGGATTTGCATGCTTTTAGTGGAAGCCTTTGTCCAAATCCTATATTTCTTTGACGACTGTAGATGTAATTATTCTTTTAAAGCCTAAACCGCAGATCTGTTTGGTAAATATGGTTAAGTGTGCTTGTTAGCCGCTACATATTACGACTTATATCAACTGATCGCAAGTTATAATGATTGCATTATCAAGGTAGTACCGCTACTGTATGGCATACTTACTGGCCGCGTCAGTTCGGCATTCGTATTGTTTGCTGTAGTCACTTTGGTTCCCGTATGTAACGGCATCATTAACTGAAGCTACACTAAAGGTGTAAAGTGTTCCTGAAATGAAAACACCTCAATTCGTTATACCAATACATGAAATGCTTTTGTTTATCCAAAGCTTATAAGGAAGAACAACTACACCTAGAAGACACAATTTCAAAATGACACAACATCAAAAGCGATTTTACATTATTGTCTTCTCTTGTCAATGAAATGATAATATTTTGTGAAAACACCACTCTTTAAATAAACTGATGCAGCTTTGCATTCTAAAGTGAAAACTCGATTAATCATGATAAAATAAATCATCTATAACCCTTTTAATTGAGGATGTTACGATGACAAATTAAACATTACCCTCAAATTCGGTAAGGGAACATGAATGTTAAACGTAACATCTTACCTGGTTTGAGACCAGCAACTACATACTCTGTCTTGCCTGATATTGTCGTATATATAGCTCCTGTTGTGATGCTTTTTACAACATAATACTGGATGTTTCCTCTCGGATACTCCGGAGCAGTCCAGACCAGGGCGATACTCTCGTTAGTGGTTGAATTACAAAACGTAGTATTTGATAGTGTAGGTGGATCTGGAGCTTCAAATGATAATATGGTAGCGGGTAACACATTTTAAACTGACAAGATACCGTAATATACATCTTAATACAATATGACAATAAACTAGGCAATGTCTTTTACAACCTTTAGTCCTGGGCTCTGAAACACAATCTGGTTTGGAATTTTTGTGGGTTTTTTTTAATCAGAGTAACACCTAACTTAACTTATAATCTACAATTCTCAAACGAAATTTGTTCGTAGTATTTGTGTACTGCATTCCTATATAAGTTTGTAACATTTACATTAGACATTAAGCGATAATGCGATGACGCCGAATAGTGGGTGAAAATTATTTTCACTCTTACAAATAGTTTTTTATTGTTAAATTCTTTTTTAAACACATAAGATGATTGCGGTGCAGTATGTTTAGATTATATTGTTACGCAATCACGCAATAAGAGCTATTAATAAATTTGAATAATTCTAACAAATGTAACTTATAATTGTGATAATGTTACAAGCAAAAAAAAAGAAAGAAACAAAAACAAAAAAAGAAACAAAAACATCTTAGTGCAAAATAGCCTTTTTATATTTTAAATGAATATATTCAAATAAAAAGAGGAACACGAACTGAGAAAAATAACAGTAAATTCGCTATTACAAAATATAATGACACTTACATCAATAAGTTAAACTGACCAGATGGTTAGAAAGAACTGAAAGGCTCATTGTACATGCGTATCGTTCTATGCGCATGTCATAAACGTGCGCAAGACTACCTTCGCATATCTTAAATAGTTTTGTTTTTCAGTGAAAATAAACACTTACTTTTTGATACCGTTGTGAATGAAGAATACAGTGGGTCACTCCGCTCATTACCACTGACAGCAGTTATAGAGGTGTTGTACTGTTGACCGTCTGATACATTAACACTGTAGGTTATTGATTCTGTAGTTACATTTGCCATGCCAAGTGTTGGGGTACTTATTACTTCATAAAAAGTTTTAACTCCTTTATGTAAGAACCAAGATAGCGTGATCACGGGTCCGTCAACGTCTGTTTCTGTAAAATCTGAGGGTGTGTGTGGTTCTGGAACGGAAATTCACTATTGAGTCCAGATAAAATGCATAATACAATGAAAAAACAAATGATTATTTTTTTTTTGTCTCAGTTGGTTTCCGTTTCCGTTTTTAATGAATTCAAAATTATAATGAGTTGGGAAATACATTATAATATACACGTATGAATAAAATATGTTAGATAAAAGATATAAATGTCACTACTTACTCATAGTAATTACAGATGGCACTGAGCTAATATTTTGCTCAGTCTTCCTACTTCCAGACTCGACTGAGTAGATATAGAAGGTATAGGTCTGTCCGGGTGTAAACCCCACAAGTTGTATGTCTGTGGATAGCAGAGCGTTGTAGGACACACTCCCATTGATGTGTGTGACCGGAGTCCAGCTCACCACGTACCTACTGACCTGATCAGTGTACTCCAATGGAGGCGGCGTCCAGCTTATGTTAACCGTTTCTGTTCCTTCAGTAACTAATGTAAGGTCAGTCACTGCCAGAGTTGACACTGTAAAGAATCAAGTCACATGGTACAAATAAATAAACTGAAAGTTATATCATTTCATGTAAAACGTAAAAAAAAATGTGCTGTAGTCTTACACACAATGATAATATTGGAACTCAATATTGACACAAACAGAACCAAGTGTAATCGAAGACAAAAGGTGTGGGTGTTCGGTTTACAATATGTGTATTCCAGCAGAAATGATGATGACTGGGGGTTGTTTCTGCGTGTAGATACGAATGGTATCAATACGTTGTGATGTTCATTGAAAATCCCATTTATCGCTAATGCCCTTTATACTAAAAGTGTTGTCGCTCGAAACAATCTAGTTATTTCTTCCAATATTAGCTATTCCTTGAATAACATAGCCAAAGACAACACAACTGGTAAAACTGCATCACGTTTACATTTCTATTGAAATCAGTTAATAAATATAACACTTTAGAAAACTGCTGAAGTTTTTTTTCATGTGTGCTGAAGGTGGGTTGAGAATAAAGAGAAAATAACTCTAATACTGCCATAAATATTTGCATGTGATTTCATAACAATTCCTATTATTTCAAGTTATGTTAAATACGAGGACAAAACCATGCTGATACGTCAATATATATATTGGGTCGATACCTACTATTAATACACATCCCTCCTGGAGTGTTGAAACCATTGCTGTCAAAGAAACTGGCCCTACATCTGCATACGGTACTAAGTCCGTTATCAGTTTTCGCACAGTTGGAGTTGTAGTCTGCGCATGCTATATTGCTAGCATTACAAGCAACACCGAGACCTGCGTCTGGAAATCAAAGCAGAGTAAAATAATACTTAGTTTTATTAATATGATACTTATCGACAAAAACGTGTAAAATAATTTCATTTAAATCAGGAATGTAATATAATAACTGTCAACTCTTCTGTGCTTGTGATGTGATTGATTGAAACATGTTATAAATGGATTCATTATTTAAATTGGTTATCTTTTTTTGAAGGTGTTTTAAACATACAAATGACAATGTTTTCATTAACATAAAACGCGATCTCCAAACGGCATAATCAGCATAGCGCATGGCATAAATATCATGCACACACACACACACCACTCTATATTCAACGCTTTCTTTAATAACATATGCGTCACTAAACCATTTGCCATGTAAACGTTATAAACAGATATAAATCATCCAATATACATACATACATGATTAAGCATACCCATTGTAATAGATTTACTAGCTGTTTGCACGTATTGCTCATATCGACGACTTCCATGTTCGATCGTTTTAACGTAGAAAGCATACTGCTGTCCAGATACGAATCCAATCAGTCGAACGTTTGTTGCATTACCAGCGCTGTAGTTTCCTGTTCCGTTGGGTAACAGGGGAGTCCAGTGAACCTCGTACCTTTTGACCTGTTTACTTTCAGGAGATGGAGCAACCCATTCTATCGTCACTGTGCTGGTACCTTCGACTCCTACCGCAAAACTTTTTGCGATCAATCCATTCACTACAAAATAGTTCACGGTAAACATATCAGAATTCCGACAGTTTTTTGCCACTTCTTTGTGAATAAATGTATTTTGGTGGAAAGGACATACCTAAAATCAAACCATGTTTGGACAGTGTCTGTTTTTGAGTAAGTGCTTGTAGTTCCATAAAAGACTAGTTATATGTATTGCTGATTCATGAGTCATATTAGATAACATGCTATTTATTATCTACCAAGTCGTCGATATAACGACACTTTTCACTGGTTAATTACCACGTGATGTTGAACGGTAGACAATGGACGTACTTGTATTATCTTAAGCCATACTAAGCACGTGCAACGTTATTTTCAAAACCCTCTCCCGCATATAGAAACAAGCGAGCCGCTTGACTTTTGTCCTATGTCAAATGATGGTACACGCATTTAAGTTTGCATTTATTTGAAGATTTGCCTGTAGACAAACAAAAACGTTACTTATTAACCTCTAGATCAACTTTAAATCTCAAAACTCACAGTCAACATGTTACGTCGAACTTTTGCGAAGGAGATTCGAAGTTGTGTTTGTTAATCTGCCAAATGTTGGTTTCGTGTGTTGACGAGAGATGTCGATAGATTGGTGGTTTCATTTCATTGAAATAAGCACTTGTTATAAAGAATGAGATCAGTCTTCATTGTTTAATCGTCTTTCGAACAAATGACAAATGCAAAAGGAAACATCGGTCCCATATATAACAAGTGTATATCCAGGTTAAATAGCCAAAATAGAACAATTATCTACAGGGTAAGAAATCATAAAAACGTGCAGCATGTTGGGAGACATAGGCATCACGTGACAAATGTTTGCAGGCGTAAATGTGTAGCATCCCTTCGATATATTTATATTATCTAGGTCACTTTGCGTTTTATAGGCGTATGGGTACTGAGGTAAACTTTCATTTCATTTTCTAGGTAGAGCATTCATAATCAACATATGTCTGTATAATAGGGGAGAACACATAAGTAAGGATTCGCAAATATTTGAAACAGTAATCAACTCTCCTCCGTTTTATATTCCGCCATAAAACGTTTGTTGATAATGTCTTAATCAATTCGTGTGAAAAACTTTGTTCGGAAAAGAACATATCCAAATTAAGCATGCAGCTAAGTCAGCAGAAATTTGGTTGACACTTATAAATACTTTCAGGAAGTATGCATATGTGAAGCAGGTCACTATTCCAATGCCTCAAAACCCGTGACGATTCGTTTATTAGTCTGACACTGTTGAAAAAGAAATTCTGCCAAGCAAAGTTCGTAGGAAACGGCAAACCCAGTTGAATGTTTTTTGTCATTTTGTTCGGAGTCCCTACGTGTGCTCCAATGTACCAGAAGACATTTGTATTTGAATGCCTAAATTGGGATCAAACTCGGGACCTTTTGTTTACTAGTCTGGTGCTCCAGGGAATGAGCTAAAGAGAAATTTCAGTACTCGAGTCAGTATATATATCTTTAAATAGTTATCAGCAACAAATCGTTTTTTATTACCTGGTTCTATATTGAAATATTTAGCTTATACAGAATTTTCCGACTATGGTAAAATACTTAGACCACTCATGTCAGCCCAGCAGTCTCATACTTAAGTTTTGTTTATTTACAGATCACTTTGTCAAGTCAAGAAACGCCTGATGAACCAAATTGAATGTGTTTGACTAGCAAATAATTAATCTTGATGACCCTACCTACAATAGCTTCTTAGTAACAACTTACACAGAGAGAAGTTCTGTGTCATAAACATTGACTCGAACTTTGAATCAATCACGCGAAAAGCGGTGACCGTGTCGAAAATAAAGACTAAGCCATTAACACACTGTTGGTCGGTACACCCTATTGTCATTGCCGATATTATCTTCGTTGAATTTTAGTGAAAATCCTAGGTTAATGTTTACCACAGCAATATACAATAACACATGTCGAATCACATAGGGGACAATAAATCAGGAGCTTGATGACCTGATCTACAATAGGTGCTTATCACAAGATAGAGCTGCGAATCCACAGTACACATGCCAAATCAAACAGAGGACCAACTTTCAAATCGAAGACGGAGAGGTGGCAAGGTTCATGATAAACACACTTTACTCATTATTAATTTAAGAATGATCGGTACCCTTTCTAATTTTCAAAATTTAAATAACTAAAGGGTTAACCAACCCCGTCGACTTATTATTTAACAGTGGTTGGCAAATATTATATTTTAATTACATCTTTTTGACCCCAACCTTATCGATGAGCCCTAGAAAGGCAAAAAACTGTATGGTGCAAGCAATACATTGTATGAGTATGCGAACCGTATTCATTGCAAAGTTTTAAAGGTGCTATTATAAGTGTTTTACTTCCGTTCATTTGGCTAGAAACAAGGTGGGAGACTCCTATTGCGTTTTCCTAATACCCGAGGTTTGCAGGTACCTTAGTAGCCACAGCAGTGGTCACTTTTAAGTAGTGGAATGGTTCATAATATACAGTAATTACTGATTATCAATTTGTTTTGAAATTCAAGACAGGGGATTTAGGCACCTCCTATTCTGCTTCAATAGCAGTGGTCACTTTTAAGTAGTGGAATGGTTCATAATATACAATAATTACTGATTATCAATTTGTTTTGAAATTCAAGACAGGGGATTTAGGCACCTCCTATTCTGCTTCAATAGTAGTTCAGACCAATTCATACATTTCCAACCTTTTGACACATATCATCACCAAGATGTCCTATATGGACAAAATACCTGTATAGTGCAGTGTCATTATTTGTTGGCTTACTGTTTCTATAAATAATATTCAAATGTCAGTTTCACCTTTGAAAATTAATCTCAAATAAGATTTAATAGCTCATCGNTACAGACATGGCATCATCACACAAAACTGAACCACCACAAGTCTCACTAAGTTCTGCCTCTGAAAATACAAAAATGCATGCCACGTTTCTATAAACTTCTAGCATTCACACAATGAGAGCGATGTTAACTGATATTTTTAAAGAAGAAACTATTTATCATTGACGAGTATGTAATTGATGACATAACTATTTTTAACTTCAACGATGCACACAACACTGCTATTTTTCAATCATCTCATGCATTCATGAATTAGATCTCCTTCCCTCTCTGTATTCTTTCGATACGTTTAATTTGTACATACGTTCACTTTTTTCCGAGGAGTATGTTTTTAATCTGTTATTTGATTATTCAATGATCTATTACAATGCGTCGACGT